CAGGCACCAGATCCTGCTGCAGGAAGGTAAGTGAGCTAGGGCTGCCTGTGTGCTTGACTTGCTGAGTGTTTGTTGGGTGGGCTGTGTGTCACAATGACAGAGCCGCCACCTCTGGCAGCTCTTCCTCTGCTTGTACCTGTGAGATGTCTGTCCAGGCAAGACCACGAACTGTTGAGGCTTCCCCCAGGTCCTGGTTTGGTGCTGTGGAGACAGTGGCTTTCAAGTTCCTTCCACTGAGAGCCGGGTGAGGGACTACCTGCAATGTGAGTGGTGTGTCCTGGAGCTGTCCCTTAAGAAGCAAGCAATAGAGCTACAGGAGGAGGTAGCAAGGCTCCGAAGCATCCTCTGCCATGAAGACTTCATCAATTCAGTGCTGAAGTGGACTTCTAAGACTCTGGAGGAAGGACTGCCAGAGGCAGCACTAGAAAAGGAAAAAGACATGGATTCCCAGGAAGGTGGAAGCTGGAACTTTGTGACCTCTGGCATCAAGCAAAAATCTTCATCTCACCTGAAGCAGTTTGCCTGGAGAACAGATATGGAGCCCTTGCAACAGAGGAGAAGGAACATGTTGCATTGGAGGTCAGGCGAGGCATCTCCACGGTTGGGATGATGAAGACCACTACCACCTAGAAGAAGCAATGGGTGGTGGTGGTTGGAGACTCCCTTCTGTGAAGGACAGAGCATCCATCTGCTGGCCTGACCTGTTGCCTCAGGAGATCTGCTGCTTGCCCGGAGCCCATATCCAAAAGGTCATAGAAGGATTACTGAGACTCATCTGGTCCTCTGACTACTACCCCAGGCTGCTCATTCGTGTGGGTGCCAATGATACTGCCAGGGGTGACCCTTAGCAAATCAAAAGTGACTAGAGCTGGGTGCAAGGATGAAGGGGACAAGGGCTCAGCTGGTGTTCTCCTCAATCCTTCCTGTCAAGGGAAATGGCCCAGGTAGGAGTGCATACATCCTGAAGATCAATGCATGGCTTCACAGATGGTGTTGCCAGCAGTGCTTTGGCCTCTTCAAACACAGGATGTTGTTCCACAGAGGAGGATTGCTAGGAAGAGATGGGATCCACCTGACAAAGAAAGGAAAGACCAACTTTGCAGACAGGGTGGCTAATGTAGTGAGGAGGGCTTTAAACTAGGTTAACCGAGGGATGCAGACCAAAGCTCTAAGGTAAATGGGGAACTGGGTGACCTGGAGGAAGCACAAGCAGGAGGGGGCAACAGGGGACACATTCTCATTCTTCCTGAGAAAGTAGGGCTATCAGTTAGTTACCTCAGGGGTCTGCACATGAATGCAAATATCCTGGGAAACAAGCAGGAAGAATTAGATGCCCACACATGATGACAGAACTATGATGTTATTGGAATACCAGAGACTTGGTGGGATAGCTCACATGACTGGAGCACTGCCATGGATGGGTATAAACTGTTCAGGAAGGATGGGCCGGGGAGAAGAGGAGAAGTTGCTCTGTATGTAAAACAGCTGTATGTTTGCTCAGAGCTCCAGTATGAAACTGGAGACAGGCTTGTTTAAAGTCTCTGGGTTCAGGTCAGAGGTAAGAACAGCAAAGGTGATGTTGTAGTGGGCATCTGCTATAGATCACCAGATGACGAGGGTGAGATAGATGAGGCTTTCTTCAAACAGCTAGCAGAAGTTTCTCAATCAGAGGCCCTGGTTCTCATTAGGGGACTTCAATCACCGTAACATCTATTGGGAGGGCAATACAGCAGTGCACAGGAAATCCAGGAAGTTTCTGGAGGGGGTTGGGGACAACTTCCTGGTCCAAGTGTTGGAGAGGTCAACTACAGGCCATGTTCTTCTTGACCTTGATTCACAAACAGGGAAGAATTGATAGGAAATGTAGTAGTGGATAGCAACTTGGGCACCAGCGAGCACGGGATGATTGAGTTCATGATCTTGAAGAAAGGAAGGAAGGAGAGCAGCAGAGTATGGACCCTCAACTTCAGAAAAGCAGTCTTTTAACTCAGTCAGGGAACTGATGGGCAGGATCCCCTACGACAGGGGTTTTCAACCTTTTTTAGTCTATGTACCCCCCAAGTCGGACACCGAGGAGAGTGGTACGTGCAGCCAAATGCAAAGCAACCTAGAGACAGATGGTATGGAAAAGTAAAGTACTCAATGTCTTTTTTCACCTCAGTCTTCATAGGCAAGGTCAGGTCCCAGACTACTGCACCTGGTGGCACAGTTTGGGGAGGAGGTTAGCAGCCGACAGTACCAGAAGAACAGGTTAGGGACTATTTAGAAAAGATTGACATGTACAAGTCTATGGGGCAAAACACGATGCACCTGTGGGTGCTGAGGGAGTTGACCAATGTGATTGCAGAGCCACTAAGCATTATCTTTGAAAATTTGTGGCAACCGGGAAAAGTTCCAGATGATTAGAAAAGGCAAATATAGTGCCCATCTTTAAGAAACGGAACAAGGAGGATGTGGGGAACTACAGACTGGTCAGACTCACCTCAGTCCCCAGAAAAATCATGGAGCATGTTCTTAAGGAATCTTTTTAAAGCATTTGGAGGAGAAGAAGGTGATTGGTCAGCACAGATTCACCAAGGGCAAGTTATGCCTAACTAACCTGATTGCCTTCTATGATGAGATGACTGGCTCTGTGGATGTGGGAAGAGTAGTGGATGTAATATACCTTGACTTTAGCAAAGCTTTTGACAGGGTTTCCCACAACATTTTTGCAAGCAAGCTAAGGAAGTACAGGTTGGATAAATGAACCATAAGATGGATAGAAAAGTGGCTGGATTGTCAGGCTTATATAGTAAGAATGAATGGCTCAATGTCTAGTTGGAAACCAGTATCAAGTGGAGTGTCTTAAGACATTGGTCCTGGGATAAGTTTTGTTCAATATCTTCATCAATAACCTGGAAGATGGAATGGAGTGCACCCTCAGCAGGTTTGCAGATGACACAAAGCTGCAGGGTGCAATAGATGTGCTGGAGGGTACAGCTAGTATTCACAGTGACCTAGACAAATTGGAGAATTGGGCCAAGAGAAATTTCATGAGGTTCAACAAGGACAAGTGCAAAGTCCTGCACTTAGGACAGAACAATCCTGCTACAGGCTTGGGACCAACTGGCTAAGCAGCAGCTCTGCAAAAGAGGACCTGGGGGTTACAGTGGTCAGTAACCTGAATATGAGCCAGCAGTATGCCGTTGTTGCAAAGAAGGCTAATGGCATACAGGGCTGCATTAATAGAAGTATTGTCAGCAGATGAAGGGAAGTGATTCTTCCCCTCTATTCAGCATTGGTGAGGCCACATCTGGAGTACTGTGTCCAGTTGTGTCCCACACCCCCCGCTAGTGAAAGAATATAGACAAATTAGAGAGAGTCCAATTTGGATTTGAATCCAATGGTCTCAAGTTGCAGCAAGGGACATTTAGTTTAGGTTTTAAGAAAAACTCTCTCAAGAGGAGGGTAGTGAAGCACTGGAACAGGTTACCCAGAAGGGTTGTGGAATCTCCATCCTTGGAGGTTTTTAAGACATGGCTAGACCAAGCTTTTGCTGGGATGACGTACTTGGTCCTAGCTTTGAGCAGGAGTTTGGACTAGATGACCTCCTGAGGTCCTTTCCAACCATAATTTTCTATGATTCTGTTGCAAAAAACTCATAAAGATCACAACAGGTCAGAATGGTTTTGACCCTATAGCTTCCTATTTGAAATCTCTGGGTTTATATTGTGAACCATGCCTAGGTGTTAGCACAGCCATCAATGCAAATACTGAATGGCACCACTCAGCACCCTTAAAAGGGTACAACAGTTCCCCAAGGTGTCATGGCATCATTGCTGAGAACCCCTACAGTAATCAGTAGACTGAAAGGCTGCATATTCTGTCACAGACAGCAGAAGACAATCACTGTCTGCCCCTGAACCCTTTCATGTACCACATTTCAGATATCTGTGAATAGAGTTCAGCCCCAAACATTTTGCTTCCCCAGCACAGAATTGTATTTGCAAATGTCCTACCTATTTTTATTTGTCCATCCTTATCAGCTGGTCCTTTAGGGATAACTGACTTCACATATATCCCACCATGACGCACACTAGTGTTAATTCCACCCTGCAAAATACATACCCACATCTCAGAGAGTCCTGCAGCACTACATGTCCCTCCTTCAATAAAAATCAAAGCAAAAATGGGTGTTGCCATGTAAATTCTGAAGAGTTTGTCACAAATCAGCAACTGCATCAGAAATTACCTTTTAAAAATGTAGGGGGAAGACTGAAAACAGTTGCTACTCTTGTTCTATAATGAAAGTATAATGAACTTCGCAAGGCAGTCTTAATTGTCCATGTTTTATTGTTCTATCTAAAATTCTGAGTGCTTCTATGTGACTGCATATAAATATTTTAAATCATTCTGGAATTCCCCCTCATGCTACTATAACTGTGGTTAAAGGTAGCTAAGAGTCTACTTTCCAAAATCTGGATAATGCATTAAATTGCTATTAGTCCTTCAGATTAAATGTACAGACCTGGTCCTGAACACTTGTTGCCAGTAGAACTTCCCTAACATTTTTTTGCAAGAATAGGAGAGTTAGTTCCCAGCCCCAGGCAAATCCCAAGCTCACTTATAGGTCTGTTCTGTCTGCCTCTCTTCATGCTCCCAACAACTTCAAAGGAACAAATAAGCCCTCACTTTCTGCTGTATTGCCACCTTGTTTTAAAGCTGAAGTAACTGTTTTAATGGTAAAAGAAATAATCTGTGAAACTATATGGACAGAATAGATCCCATGACCCAATGGAGGGGTATCATTTCACCAAGATAAACAGGCAGCATTTCCACTGCTGCCTCTGAACATGGGAAAGGAAGTTCATATGATTAGAACCCATAGTTTCTAATCACTTTGCCAATCACTTAGGAGGGTTTGGGCCTTGAAGTACTGGGCCTTGCTGTCAGCCTGTCTTCTTCTAGGACCCCATGTAATACACTTTCCTATATGTTCCTTAGTAATGTGGGCATTGTATTCATGAATGCATTGTAAGATCAAAAATAACACTTGCAGTCACACTGATTCCCAAAGTCCCATTATCTTTAACCAGCTCCACGGTGTAGATTCCATTTGAATTGACTTCAGCGGGAGGCATTGAATGAAAGGAGTCAGCTTCCTGTCTCGAAAATATAAACACTAATGAGACGACAGCACGGAAAGAGAGAGAAATTCTAAGAGGCCCAATCTGCTGTCATTTATACCAGTCTGGAAATCCAGATTACTATCACTTATACTCAGGTGTAAATTGGAGCAGAATTTGATTTACATCATATAAGCTGAGGACAGCTTGGGAAGATTTTCAAAACCCGAACAATTAGATTTTTTTAATTATTATAGTCCATAACAATAAGACTTTTGAAATAATAAATTAGTACCAATTGAGAGAACCCACATTTTTCCATCAAAAACATGAATTTCCACAGGAAAAAAAGAGAAAAACTATTTTCAACATTTTGCCTGTATTTTGACTGGCTCTAAGCCTGGTTAAAATTATTACAGTACATTTAAAAATATCAACAAAGAACAACTGAAAATTGTTAAGCACCATTTCCATGGGATTTCCTTCTCACCCAGCACATTTTTGTTCCACTCTGTTACTTCCTATATTCTTAATAGCCAAACATTTCAAAAAGTACGTATTAGACATACTGGGCACATCTACGTGTTCATTAATGTGCCATGGTTACAGCACATTCAGTTTAGTACCTGTAATAACAGGTACTAACTGAATGTGCAGTAACTGGCACTTCTGAGCAGTAGCACTGGCATACAGTTTTTTTGTGATGTTAATGCACAATAGACTAATTCAGCTGTGCTTAGCACGGCTTTGCTGTGGTGCGTTAATACTCAGTAGGATTAGTCTATGCGTAGATGCACCCACTGTTACTAAGTACTACTAAAACAGTAGTTACCTCCACATCCATGTGGCCAACTGAAAGAACAGAAATCTTGTTAACCAATTCTGGTGCCAAACTCCAAGAAAGAACCTTTTCAAGTTCATCTATATTTATGTCTTTTTCCTTGGAAGGTCCTGTATGGCAGCCTTGTATTCTTTTTTTCCCACTGTCTATGCAAGTTGTCTCAGACTCACTGGTGCTGCTTTTTCTTGACAGATTTTTCTCTTCCTTTATTCCTTCCTCATACATGTCTGCAAAAACAGACCAACACCAAACATTGTCAGCTGAAAAAAATCTGAAGAGAGATACTGTTGTGCATTGCCACTGCCAAATTCTAGCCCCACAGGCCAGATGTCATGACTCCATGCTCTGGATCTTGCCCATGACAATTTCCATCAGCTTCATTGGTACAAGATTAGTATCAGAAAGCACCAATACATTTCACAGAGACTGCTGAACAGCCAACAGATAGTAGCTTTTAGGAGTCACTTGTACTTTCTACTTACCAACTTAAACTGCAGTTTAGTGGAAAAACTCTTCTAACATAGCCCATTACAAGTGCCCTGAGCC